GGAAAAAAGGCAGAGCAGACAGGAGCTCTGAAATCTGAAGAACGACACGTGGTGAGTTCCCTCGGCTTTCTTTTTGCCTCATGTATCCCAGTTTGGTTACCAGAGAAGGTGGCAACCTAGAAATGCCAGTGGCCCCAGACAAAAGAAGCTCCAACAAAAAGCCTCCTCTCTCTGGTCAAAGGACCAAGAAAGGGGCAAGATGGGTACATTTAGAAAATAACCTCTCTACTGTAGTCAAAACCAGAGAAAAAACTGTAACAAAGGCTGAGTGGGGAGTCTGGACTTCTTCCAGGTGCCCCAACATACCCACCAGGATCGTGTTGAAGAAGCCTGAGGAAGGAGCCAGAACTTTCATTCTGGTTGGGTAGGACGGAGTCCCAAACTCTATTCCATGGTGTCAGTGGAGACCACGTGGGGATCCTAGACTTCCATCCTACCCAGCAATAATGAGGTACCCCTCACCCTCCCTGCTGGGGTGGCATCAGAGGGGACCTAGTGGAGAGTTAGCACTTTCACTACTGTCCAGAAAAAAGGAGGCCACCTCTCTTCCCTACTCCCCGAAAGTGGTGGTAGTAGAAGTTGCAGGTGGAACAGTAATGAGGGAATCTTATACCTACCATCTAGGAGGTAGCAGTGGAGGCCTCAGGGGTAGCCGGAATGCCCACTTCTGTCCAGCAGTAATGAGGAGCCACCCCCTTGGGTTTAAATAGAGGCTAGATGCTGACCACAAGGCCCAGGAAGACTTTTCTTTCCTGGGGAACTAAGAGACCACACAAATGATCCTATTCCCCACCCCCCACTTCCTTTTTTTGGCTTTCAAGACTCCCACAGCCAAATTTAGGATACTATAGGACCACAGAGCTATGCATTTCCTTTTCTTCAACCTGATGTTCTATTTCTAATTCACATGTTCCCTGGCCTCTGTGATGTTCTTTGAATGTGTCAACTTGGCTTGGCGTTATTCCTCAATTTTCAATCAAACACTAATTTTGGTGTTTCTGTGAAAGTATTTTGTAGATATAACAAAAGTCCATGATCAGTTGATGTTAAAACAGGGAGATTATCCTAATTTTAGGCCTTTCAATCAGTTGAAAGGTCTTAAGAGCAGAGCTGAGGGTTCCCTGATGCAATAGAAATTCTACCTGTGCACAATAGCTTTATCCCATGGCCAAGAGTTCCAGCCTCCCCTTCCTGAAGGCCAGGTCTATGTGTTTCAGATTTGCCTAACCAGCCCCCATGATCACATGAGACAATTCCTTGCAATAAGTTCCATCATATATATATCCTACTAGTTCTGTTTCTCTGGCTGAATCCTTAGTGATTTACATATTTTACTACTTTGTGGTTTGTATTATATATAGTAGCTATCTCTAAACCATTGTGGAATGATGTATAGCACAAACAGTAAGTAAATACTCCTTGTATATCTTATTTGTCAGCCTAACTGAGACATAGCCTAAAGATTTCACTCTCTACCCCTAATATTTTCTACCTTCAACCCTTCTCCTGTGTCCTCCTTGGTCCCATCACCTCCCATCTCCTGTACATCACTCTCTCTCCAAATACTCCCTTAGATTCCAAAAAAAGAAACAAAAAACTGTTCAGAAACCTCATTTGACACTTTAATCCCTGTAAATTTTCATACTACTTCATTTCTTCCATTTGCTCACTTCTTAACCCACTGGTACCTGGTTTCTATATCTACTACTAAAACCGACCTCTCTTCTAACTTTCAAGGTTCAAATACCTCCAGGTGACCAGCTCTAACTACATAGGGCCTGCCAGTTGCCTCCCAATATCTACTATCTCCTTCTTCCTTTGTAATAGAATCTCAGGCAAGTTAACCAGCTAAAAAGGTACATTTCCCAGTATCCTTTGCCCCTAGGAGTGGCCTGTTACTCAACTGTGGCCAATGTGATGTAGCTAATTATGGAATAGCATTTCTAGAATGCTCTTTTTAAAAGGATGGAGCATGCCCTTCTCTTCCTGTTCTTTCTCTTTCTTCCCGAGTACAGATGTACTATCTGGAGCATTAGCAGCCATCTTGGATCAAGAGATGACTTTGAGGATGTAAGCTGAGTGGGGTGGTACAGAAGGATATAAAAACCTCAACTTTGACCTTAGTGATACCAGGGAGTTGCTAAACCAGTGTTATAGTGATTTCCTCCAGACTTCGGACTTCTTTACATAGCACTTGAACGTTTAAGCCACTGTATCAGGGTCTCTGCTACTAGTAGCTAAATGCAATCCTTAATCGATGCACCAATGGTCTCTGATTGTTCCTTCATGCATTTATTACATAAATATTTGTTAAACACCCACTTTGTGCCAGGCACTACTGTAAATACAATGGAAATAAGACAAAGTCTGACAGTTTTGAAAGGCCGTTTGGACATTAAAATAAATAAGTCAGGAGGCAATTGGGTTAAAAAAAATCTGTAGCTTAAAGGAGAAGTTGGGGAGATATACTCCCCAGTAGCTAATATTTAAATCTTCAATAAGATCATCTTGGGAAGGAAGGCAGAAAGCGAGAGAAGTCTAGAACAGCCCTGAACCACTTCAATGTCTGGAGGTCTGACAAAAGCAGAGCTGGGGTGGAGAGGCCAGAGGTCAAAGGAAAACCAAAGGAGCATACTGTCTTTGATGCCCAGACAAAAGAATGCTCCAGGAGAGAAGGGAATAGTCAGATACTTACTGAGAGGTAGAGTCAAATACAAACAGAGAACTGGCAGTTTTTCATCTTCAAAGGAGAATAACTGTGAAGCTATTATAATAAAGCTTAGGTTTCATAGCTCCTCACTAGCACCGGCTTCTTCCAATGCTTGTACCTAATTCTGTATCTGCAGTTTTGTAGTAGTTTGCTTAAAGACAATTCTCCAAATTGTATAAATTTAAGCCTCATAAAATCTAGATGTGCCCCTTGTTCATCATCCTTTATGTTTCTGTAACATCCTGGCCATATATATTTCATTGACATTATTTCTCTCTTGGCTTCTTGTAACACTTTGTTCTCTCCCACTGTTCTCTCCTTTTCTCCAGCCATCCCCTAAATGAAGATGTGGGCTGACATTAGACCTCAACCTGTTATCTCTATACTAGAATGACTAGTCATGTTGTTCTTACATAAACAACTCCCAAATTTGTACTTCTAGCACTGATCTCTACCTCCCAAACATGGGCAAAGAGTTATTCCCCTTTGAAATAAAAATTCATTTTTTTATAAAACTCATAAGCAAAAGATGAAATGGATAAAAAGGGAAAGAAATACATGCTTGACTCAGTCAGTGTTACTCACTGGTATGCTCTTTCAGAAAAGAAATAGAAGACAGCCTATCTTATTTATTGCCAAGTAACAAATTAACCCATATTTATTGGCTTAAAACAATGACATTTATTATCTCACAATTTCCGTAGGACAGCAGTCTGGATGAGGTTTAGTTGGGTGCTCTGTTTCAGGGTCTTTCACAGGCTACAGTCAAGGTGTAGACAGGGGTTGTAGTTGTGTCAAAGCTAAAATGGGGGAAGGAGCCACTTCCTAGCTCCCTCCCATGGCATTGCAGGATTCAGTTCCTCTCAGGTTGTTGGAATGAGGGTCTCAGTTTTTCGCTGGCTGTTGGCTGGAGGTGGTCCTCAGTTCCTTTCATGTGGCCTTTTTCACAGGGCAGTTCACAACATGGTAGGTGGCTTCATTGGCGAGAACAAGTGAGAGGGTAAGAGAGAATGCAAGCAAGATGAAAGTCTTTCATGACCTAATCTCAAAAGTGACATCTATCACTTCTGCCTTAGTCTACTGACAGAAGCCAGTCATTAGGTCCAGCCCAACCCCAAGGGGAGAGGATTATTCAGGGAGTATATATCAGGAGGCTGGGATCACTGGCAGCCATTTTAGAAGCAGCCTACTACACAGCCCCTGCCCTCCAGGAACTCACAGTGTAGCTGAGAAAGCATTAAGTACGTACTTGGAAAAGACTAAGGTGTGCTGGCACAGTGACTGCAGTCAGCGTAGATGTACATCACCCTACAGTTGAGACACTGTGTTCCTGTCGGATTGCATGTAACACATTTGAGATTGTCACTGATTTTCAGTGTGTGTTTTGAGATACATTCTACATAGCTTACCCTCCTCCCCTCTCACTCCAGGATAATTGCTATAATAATGTAAAATGTAAGCTTGAAAAACTCACCAACAGGACTGCTGAGTTTTTATTGGGCTGATTGTAAAGTTGGTGATTCTGTTTCATTTCCCACTTTGTGGTCAAAGCTCCAAAAATAATACTCTTTATTAAAATAGGAGACACCTGTATCACGGTATGAGTTATTTGTATTAATATAGGAACTCAAATTTCCCAACTCGTCTACAGAGTTTTCATCATGCTATAAGAAAAAAAAATAGACAAACTAGCATATTTTAATCTCTCTAATAAAAACTACTTAGTGATTAGCACAGGGACTTATAATAATCACACTAATGCAGTAAATAATAATAAATACATAATCAAAATTAATGTACTTATTGGCTTACTTCGCCCATACTGTAAATACACTACCCCTTGTTTTAACACAGGTTGGGCTCCTGGCTGATCTTGGTCCATTTGTGCAGTTCCACCCCACACCATAGGTGGCACAAGCAGCTCTTCCTCACTCGCGGTTTTCGACGGTGCTCCTTTCTCTGTCAGAACCAACCAAGTCAGTAAGAAAGGGGGGGGAATAGCCAGGCCAGACTTGCTTCTTTAAAGGAACGCTGCCCCATGTGATTAGTTACTTTAAGCACACTGTAAGTATGTAAACGCCGGCGCCTGGCGTAAGCGCCCAGGGCCTGGGTCTCGCGAGGCCTGGCATTTTCTCCCCCCCGGCTCAGGCGGGGAAAAGTGCGGTCCGGCCTGCGGAGGTTCCACCCGGAAGCCGCCGCGCAGGCTGCACTCGCGTGCCGGCTGCGGAGCTCCGTGCCACACCGAGTCCTTGGGCCGGCCGCGACCCCCTCCCTCGGTCGCCACGGGCCCATGAGTCCACATGGCGACGGCAGGGGCCAGGCCCAGGGGAGGGCAGCCCGAGTGGGGCCGCGGCGCTCCGGGGGCCTCCGCGGCGGCGTCGCCGTGTTCGCCGCTGTGGCCGCCGTGTTCACCCTCACGCTGCCCCCCTCGGTGCCCGGGGGAGACTCGGGTAAAGTACAATCAGGGTTGCTTCTCCTGCCCTTCTCCCCTGGTCCTAAAGCAGGGAGGGGCTGCGTGTGGCCCCCGCTCTTGGCATCAGGACTGGTCTGCTCCGGCCTTCCATCCACCCGCCTGTGCCCAGCGCAGGGTTTTGTGTTCAGAACCAACTCTGATTTCTTTAGTTCTCAGGCGGGTTTATTGTTGGTTTCGCGTGGTGGGGTGTAACTACCTCTCCACGTCCCCAGATCTTTTTTCCTGGACCTGACTACTTTCCATTCTTTTTTAGTCTGCAAATATTACTTAGTCTTTACTGTGTTTCGGGCAAAAGGAGTAACACTAGTGGCAAACAAACATCACTGAGGATGTTCCAGTGCGATTAGAGATGATATGCAAGTTACTGAATAAACTACATACTTATTGGTGATAAATTATGGAGACAGAAATATAATTGAGAGTGGGGTTAGAAAGTGGATCCCTCAGAGTGGCTAGTCAGGAAAGGCCTCTGAGAAGGTGATATTTTAGTTGAAACCTAAATATTGAGAAGGAACCAGCCATGCAGAATAGTCGGAGAACTCTTAAAAAAGTGCAAGCCAGATGCAGCTTAAAGCATGCTGCTTCTATTACAGAGAAAAGCATGACTCATTGGCCATTTAAATATGATTGTTTTATGTTTGAGACAAGAAACAGGATCGATCCAGGGTTGGGTTTTGTTTTGCTGCCAAATAAAGTGACCATCCAAGATTGCCTCGTAATGGCCAGTAATTTTGTCACAATGGTGCTGTAATTTCAGGTGGTGATCTATGGACTGATGAATCTACTAGTTATCTTTTATATATACACACACACACGTATATATAACTTTTATTTTTTTAGAGACAGGGTCTTGCTCTGTTGCCCAGCCTCGAGTGCAGTGGCTGGATCATACCTCAGTGTAACCTCGAATTCCTGAGCTGAAGGAATCCTCTTCCTCAGCCTGCCGAGTAGCTGGGTCTACAGGGTTGCCACCATGCCTGGCTAACTTTTAAAGTTTTTTTGTAGAGACATGTCACTATGTTGCCTCAGGTTGGTCTCCAATTCCTGAGCTCTAGTGATCCTCCCACCTCAGCCTCCCAAAGTGCTGGAATTACAGGCAAGGGCCACTGTGCCTGGCCTCTACTAGTTATCTTTGTTGCATAACAAGATATCCCCAAATTTAGCAGCTTAAACAGGAAAAGTTTATCATCTCAGTTTCTGTAAATCAGGAATCTGGGTGCAGTGTAGCTCGGTACTCTTACTCAGAACAAGATTGCTGTCATGATGCTGGCTGGGGCTGTAGTCCTCTTAAGGCTCAATTTGAGGAAAATCTGCTTATAAACAGTGCAATTCATTGCTATGGGAGTCTCTACATCAGATAGCTGATTTCTGTCAAGGGAAAGAGATAGGGCACCTCTGTCATTTTGTAACCTAATACTGGAAGTGATATACCACTGCCCTATTTTATTCATGGAAATTGGT